GATAGCTAGTGGGAAGCAACTGCATCTCACAGGGAGATCAGCTCGGTGCTTTGTGACCACCTAGAGGGGTGGGATAGGGAGGGTGAGAGGGAGGCTCAAGAGGGAGGGGATATGGGGATATATGTATACATATAGCTGATGCACTTCGTCGTACAGCAGAAACTAACACAACATTGTAAAGCAATTATACTCCAATAAAGATCTGGGGGAAAAAAACACCACCACCATCCAGTGCACCGTAGAGGTGGATGAAATGAAACCACCTTGGAATCAAACACGTCCAGGTTGGATTTATCCTTGTGCAAGTACAAACAGGAAATTGCAAGAGGAAAAGGCAAATGTCTGTGTATTTCTCCTAGAAGTGCTGGGAGGATGTTATGGATCATAAAACATTTATGCCTTTGCAATTGTGGCATTTATGACGGCAAGAAATAGCTATCTCTTCCTGTTTATGAATATACTAGAGAGAGAGTACAGAATATGGGAGAAAGGCTAAATGGGTCATTAGTTAAAATACGCTCAGGGGATTTTTCTGGGGAAATGCCAATAAGAGAATCTCAAAGGCCACATCGCTTCAGGCTCATCCATTATGTAGTCAGCTAATGTTTATGGGGCTCCTGATACGTGCCAGTCTGTACTTGGTCTAAAGGTTCAGCTCCCAGGCCTTTCACGTGCTCTTTGCCTTTGGCTTACAAAGACTATAGTCAGGTGATAGCCTCCTCTGGGAGCAGCTGGGGTGCCTACCAGCTGAGAAGCCCGCACGAACACCAGAAGGACCTGGCACCGGGAAACCCTCAGCTAGACAGTAGTCTCCTCCTTCCCTCCATCCCTCTTTGTTCCCTGTTGGAAGTATTAGAGAATTCCGAAAACGCTTGAAGTAATAGGTCATGGTTAGTTTGAGTTGGGGTTTACCAATCTATAGGCAGCCACCCCCCCCCCAAAAAAAAAGCAAGAAGAAAAAAGGAAATAAAATCAAGTGAGACTGAAAATTCCCTGACCTATAAAAACTAAGGGGTGAAAAGCACCAGCTTACTTTGCTCGGGCTAATAAATACCAGGGTGGCAGGCAACCCACGCCCCCACTAAAATGTATGCCCGTCGGCAGACACATTTGCCTTTTCTGGCTCTGATCCCGGCCAACCGTCACAACTCTCAACAAACATTTCTAGAGCCGTGGCTACGCTCCAAGCGGAGCCTGATGAAAGACTCTGGAGGCCCCAGTACTAAGATTATGGCTACCCACCTCTACATAATCACGTTTTTAAATGTAAACAAAAACTCAAAACTCTGCATGTATTCTAAAATTAAAGGGTCTCTTTCCTAGTTTTTTTAATTGTAAAACTCTGGCTACAGTCACTGAAGCTGAATTTTACTCCATCTTCTGCTCTGTTTTCTGCCTGTCTTACTGGTGCCTGAGCATCAGTGTATTTTGCCAAATGGATAATCCAGTGGGAGTGCCAGGCACCGTCTGAGGTGCTACAAATATAGTGGTGAGCAAGACAGGCAGAATTCTACAGGCAGCTGGAATTCTGCTAGAGAGAGAAAATCAATAGCATACAAATAAGTCATATCACTTGAGGGAGTAATAAATGCTCCGAAGGGGAAATAAAATTGGACCCTGGTTCTCAGCCAGTGATTTGAGAAGGTATTTAAGGGGAAATAAATCACATTCTTCAGGGGTGTTCTTGGACTCCATGTCTATTCAGATTTGGAAGCTAATGTTGCAGTGACCAGCATCTCTCGGGAGCCATCATCTCCTTGGTATCCCAGAATAATCAGAAGTGATGGACATGAGTCAGAGTTGGAAGACAGTAAGCCATTTATTGACTTTTTTTATAAGCAACCATCTTGAGAGCAGGCATTGAGCCAGCTCACATGCATAAACCTTTCCTCAAAGACCTACTAGCTCATCCTCTCAAATCTCCTCTTCATTCATTCCTGCTTATCACAATAATCTTCCTCCCATGATAAACAGAGGGATTATTAAGAGAAACAGCAATGGAAGCCTTTAGATGTTGTTCTTGGAAACAGGGTCCCAGCTGATGTTCTTCGTGGAGACTCTTGGAATGCTGTGTTCTTCAAACCTGCCAGCGGGCACTATCTTAGCCTCCAGATGTTTAGTAGTATTCCGGGTGGGCCACTTAAAACCCACACACATCCATCCATATATGAAAATAAAATGTGTCCAAGTTACAGAAATCCAGCAGAGCAAATAAGGAAATGTGTTCACTCCCAAATTCTTGCTAATGACAATGGGACTCTGAGCCAGAAGAAATGCTCCAGACTCTTAGCTGAGGGTCTGCTTAGACAAAAATAAGTAGGATGTTCAAGAAGGTTTCTCAGCAGAGAACTAAATGAAGTAGAAGGTGGCCAACCAAGGCAGCCATTTCCTACACAAGGGGATGCAACCAGGCTCTTCCAAATTCTTTTTGAGAGTTCACCTTCAGTTTTCTGCCTTGCCAAAGGATCGAGTCCCTTGTCAGCTCTGTCAATAGCAAGTAAGGAAACAGTCTACAGAATAAGGCCATTTCTAGGCTGCTTCTCCACCTCCCAAGCTCATCAACGTTATTGATGCTGGATAAGTAGTCATGTCGACTGGGTTTAGGTTTTCAAAGACTATGGTACTCATGACCCTATGCTAAAAGCGTATAATATATTCACTTGGCAGCAGAAATGCTTGCAGTTTCCCAACTGCTCCTGTGCTCTGTTGGGCCTCCTTACTCTTGCACAAGCTTTTAGCCTTGTCTGAAATGGTCATTATCTTTATTACCTGGTTAATACTTGTGAGTATTATATACCTGTGAGTATATATAAGACGCAGTTCAGGTGTAATCCCCCCTGATTCTCCCACTTCCGGGCCAGGTTCCTGTTTTCTGGTCTCTGTGTTTCCCCCACTGTCAGAGTGCAGGGAACCACTAGTACTTATCCATCCACCTCAGCGGATGAGGGGCTTGCCTGGAAGTAATAAGGAGCAATGGCTGAGGGCTTGGGATTCTGGAGTCGGTTGACCTGGGCTAAAATCCTGCTCCTCCGCTTTCCAGGTGTAAGACATGGGCAAGTTCCTTAATGTCCTAAGCCTAATTTCCAGTATGAGGATATAAATAGCATCCATCGTGGAGAGTCGCTGCCAGGCTGAGGGACATAATGCACGTGAAGGGCTTAGCACGGCCCAGTACCACTACTCAGTGAATAAACGGTAGCTACATTTACTGCCTTTTTCATGTCCCTTGAATCACTCACCGTGGTTGCCTCTCATGGCTGGAGTACAGAGAACTTGGAGAAGGATAAATAGTAGGTACCAAGACTGGGATGGCAGTTGGCACTTTGAATGCCAACGTAAGTATTTGGGACTGTGTTAAAGGTTATGGGGAGCCATTGAAGGTTTATGAACAGAGACGTGTCTCAAAGTGATGCTTTAGAAAAAGCCCTCTGAAGGCAGGCTAAGAGATGGGTTCAAGAAAAGGAGGAACCAGGTGGAGGAAGCTCTGTTAGGAGCCTATGGGAAGAATCCCGGAGAGCAGTGTGCTGAGGCCTGGGGTAGAGGCATGAATGAGAAAAACTCCAATAGAAATGACAGCTTGGGTTTGCGGAAGAAGAAAGAAAGAAATTTCAGGCTTGGTAACTGAGGAGAGGCAGTAGTGCTGCCATCAACAGAATTAGGAAGTGGAAAAAAGAGCACTGGAAAGGGGAGAAAGTCAGTTAGGCATTCAAAGACAAGATCTCTGCCTTCAAGAGGGCTTCCAATAGAGGTTAGGTAACATGTCTTGGAGTAAAAAGACCCTGGTGGTCTGGGCTCTAATAAGATCACTGTTATCACAGGACTGCTCACAGACCTAGCCTCACCAACGACATAGCTGCATCCACACAACCACACATGCATGTAGAGAATCCACGCACACAACGCCAGACCACAGACACACGTAGACACACAGATGCAAAAACACACTGACTCATACTCTCTTCCACTGATGAAGCTGTCTTCTCTCATACTCACATGGACATACAATTTCTCATTCACAAGTACACGCACACAAACACACATGAATTTTAAGATGTAAAATGACAAGTGTTCATGGTGACATGAGGATCAGTGGTCTCGGGGACCGTGTAGTTATGAGGATCAAATCAGAAGACTCTGGGTTGAGTCAAAATTGTATCAGAGAAGAGAACATTGGAAAATGTAAGAGAGTGATGTCATTCCTAAACTAAGAGCTTGGTTTTGCTCCTGAGTTTATATGCAGGTCTTGTGAATGGTGGTTCTTCATTTTCCATGCATTCTTTGCATTGACTCATACATTTTCTTCATCTCAAATCTGGGAGTTATCTATCGCTGGGGTTGTTATTATCCCCATTTTTCAAATGATGACACCAAAACTCAGAGCGGAAGTGTCTTGCTCAAGATTATATTGTTAATAAATGGTAGAACCAGGATTCAAATTCAGGTCTGTCTACCCCCAAGGCAGTTACTCTTTAACTACCATGTGGTATCTGAAATGGCTCACAAACTAGGGTTGCAAGAATAAAAAAGTCTTCATATATTGCATGGAAACAAGGCAGAATTGTGGAGGTTGATGAGAAAGAGAGCATAGTCATTATTTCTTTTTTGGTATCACTTTTTGCAACAGTTCCAATTTTTAAATTGTGCTGAAGAAAAGAAAATAAAGCAAGTGAGGCTATTTTTTCAAATAAAAGAAGAAATGATAAGATGACAGAGTGCCCTAGAATGGAACAGGAAAAGCTCTCAGGACAAAACTTTAAAGTTGAGCTTCAGAGACAAGCATAGGAGAGAGAAAGGTCATTGGGGTGCTGGAAGATGAAAGAAGAGAGCATGGGTGCAAGATTCCCATCAACCCAATATTCTCATTCCCATTTCCCTTATCTCTGAGTACTGAGGCTGGGTAGCAGCAGCATCTTAAACACGCCCATAACATGGGCAGCTGCATGGGTATGGGGTCAAAAGGACCACAAGATAATATGAACCATATCTTTCTTTCCCAATAGACTCCAAAAGGACAGGAGCTTGGACCTTCACATCAGCGATCTTGTAAGTGTGTTCATATTTTATGCCTTTTCTTGTGGGGAACAAGCACATTTCTCATAGTCTGATACATGGGAAGTTAAGATGCAGACCCAGAGGAAAAGAGAGGCTCCTCCACAGTCACTAAGAAGGCAAAATGGTGCCATGGCCAAGTGCATGGCCTGTGGAGCTGACAGCCTTTAGGCAAATAATTTCACCTTTCTCTGTCTCAGTTTACTCACCAATAAAAGTGGTTATAATAGTACTTACCTCCCAGGGTTAGTGTGGATTAAATTAGTTAATTCCTTTAAAGATATTAGAACAATACCTAGCACATCAAAAGTATGCAATAATTTTTCCTTTTATCATCAATAACATCATCTTTATCACTGTAGTTAGAACACACTTGTCCAGTATAATCATCTCTGAGAACCAAAAGGAAATCCTGAGGCCTTCTGGAGAACTGATAGGGAAACAGAGGTCCAGAGAGGGAAAGGGATTTGCCAAGGTCATATAGCTACAGAGCAGTCCCCACCTAGTTCTGTTAGGACGTCCAGATGGCTCAGTGGATATGGTTAAAGGGACTATGAAGAAGGCAAAAGGCCAACCAGCTCCCACAGAGCCAACAGAAGCAAAGGAGAGGCGAGGTGAGCTTTGCTGAACACCAAGCATGTGCCAGGAATCGTTCTGAGCACCCATCATCCATGGGAGGAATTGATGTACCCGTGTTAGATACGAGAAAGCAGAGTCTCAGACAGGATGGATAATTTGTCCAAAGTCATGGGGCCAAGGTTCATTTGTGTTCAAGATTATTTCTACTGAGGCTGCCTTGTCCCTGCCCACCCCCAAAAAAGACCTGGACCAAACCGCAGGAGAGGAATGTTTCTCTCCAGCCGCAGGCACCACGCAGCTCACCAAAGGCTGTCTTCACTCCAATCACCCTCCGACTCATAGAAAGCATTTTTCTCCTTTCCTTACAGACGCACCTCCTGGAGCCGGTGGGGATAAGCCAAGGGCACACCTGACAGGTAATTCTTCTGGGTGTGTTTTCCAGGAGACTATGGGCCCTGGGCTTGAGGTTTCTTTCAGTGTTTGCCAAAACTCACTCTTGTAGCTTTAAACTGGAAACCACACCCTTTGGTAACAGACTCCTCCTCTCAGTCAGGGTCTTCAGATGTCCTCCTCCCTCAAAGTGTCCAAAGCCCCATGTTTCTTGGGCATTTTCTTCCAGACTCTATCAGCTCTCTTCCATATCTACTGTTTCTCTTTCATTCTCACACTCAATCATTCAGAAATGGCTTTCCTCAGATGCAGAGATTCATGTAATTTTGAATCTAGTCAAAGATGAAAGCTCCCCTAAGCCAATTTATTGAGTCCATTCAAGAAGTTATTGGACACTTACATTCAGGTAGGTATTTCTAAAGAATTTTCATTGATGTAAAGAGATTAAGAGCAGTCTCTTAACATCACCGGTTGGCCAAATTCCCAAGTCTAGTGTCAAAATTCCTGACACCTCACATCTGGAGTCACATATACCTCTATGACTCCAGAGAAAAGAGCAAGACAGTGCAGAAATACGTGTTAAAAATCCATTGATACTACATATAAAATAGATAACTAATGAGAACCTACTGTATAGCTCAGGGAACTCTACTCAGTGCTCTGTGGTGACCTAAATGGGAAGGAATCCAACAAAGAGGGGATATATGTATACATATAGCTGATTCACTTTGCTGTACAGTAGAAACTAACACAATATTGTAAAGCAACCATACTCCAACACAAATTTTAAAATAAATAAATAAACTTTGCTGAATCCATTGAAAAACTAGAAAGTTAAAAAATAAGCATATTCTTCTGATCTGTAAGAAAACCTGCAACCCACAAGGGGATATCCCTGTGGCCCACAACACCTGTCTTAACGTTTGACCAAGAGGGAACTGCAGTGAGTCCTGAGTGAGGATTAGGACCAGGGAGATGCCAGTCACCATCACTTACCACTTGCCTCTAAGAATGGGGGTTATTGAACAGACTGGGCAGGAAAATCCTAGAAACTGAGTATGGAGATGCCAACCCTCTTCCTATTGAATGGGGGGAGTGGAAATGAGGAAAGGAATCTAGGTTCTACTGAGCTTTTAATATGTACCAAGCACTGTGGTAGGCAGTTTACATCCAGGATCTCTTTTAATCTGCGTATCAGCAAAACAGGATGGGGAAACTAAGGCTCAGACAACTAAATTCACTTATCCCAAGTCACAGGACTAGGAGGGTTGAGATCTGAGACTGACTCCAACTGTTTCCATTACAAATACTTCCTACCCAATCTCCTACTTGCTGCTGTGTTGGCCTAATTGCATACCAAGTTAATAGAACTTGCTTTGTCTAGAAAATACATGATTTTTGCTTTTAATCATCTGAGATGAATTTGGTAAATCTATTGCATCACCCACAAAGAAGGAGTAGAGACTATAAGAGGTGACTAATAAAAATGCCCTTTACAGATTTTGCAAAGAAGCAACAGAGCTCTCCAGGGGCCACTTAGTGCAGGGGCCAGGGGAGACACACACATTCTGAACATGTGTCATAATTGCAAAAGAAGCCATAGTCTAGTCAGCAATGGGAAAGACACTTTAGAGAAATCCAGGAACCAGGTTTTTGGTCAATTACCAGGTGAGAAGTTTGCTGAACACTTACTTAAATATGACCTATCCCAAAACTATGGCCAGCGGTACATAATGGTAATTGCTATGGATTTCAAAAGCGGTTGTAGGAAATTAAAATGTGTTTTCATTTATTCTGAAAAGTATTAGTTTTACTGCAGGTTATCTTATTTGAAATCAATGGTTTGAATCAATGGTGTGATTCTATTTATTTTTTTCTGCTATAGATATAACCTCATAAAAAGCATTCATTCATATGTTCTATGTAACATATACTTGTAAATAATGCAAACAAAAACATATAAAAATACATAAAATGAAACAGGCTTATTTTTTAATCTGTCAAAATGAAAGACATTAGTTTATTTGAGGAAAGAAAATAAATATGTATTGAGTAAGACTGTATCCAGCCATCATGATAAATATGTCCATGTCTCTTTCACTCATTTGATCTTCAGAACAACACTATAAGGGAGCTTTGTCTCCAGTTCACAGACAGGAAAATGAGACTCAGAGAGAAGAACCTACATGATACAGAGTCGGAAGCCCGGAGCCCCAGTCCCTTTCACTCCACAACTCAATTATATTTTGTCTTACATTTTGGCCCTGTTGATGTGGAAGAAGCATTTACAAAATCTTCTGGATCTCTGGTGTTCTGCATGCTAATTTTTTATTAATTACTGCCTGTGTTTCATGTGGCTTTGGACCATGCATTGGAAGGGAGTAACAAGGAACATGACTCTCTCTCTCTGCAATGCCCTCTTTCTGTAGTAGAGCATTACTGGAGCCAGAAGCCTAACAAAAGTAAATGTAGTTTAGAGGATATTCCTAATTCCACATTTAAAAAAAAAAATGAACCATCTCTTAATCCTTTCCACAGGTATTATTATCTCCTTTCCCTTTCCTTTTTTTTTTCTTGTTTGTTTTTTTAGGAAAGGTACATCAAAAAAGCAAATCTTCACTTAGTAAAGAAATACTTTAAGCAAAAGGATTATCACAAGGTGGGGAAGTAGGGGAGGTGAGGGACTACTGCAGTCAGGAGAACCTCTGACCATAAAGTCTGCAAGTGTCTCAAGAGTTAGGCTAAAAGGGTTTTTCTTTTATAGAGAGGACGACACAAAGCTGAAATGAACCAGGTGTGAGGAAGTGGGATGAAAGGTTGGCTTGATAGGCTCAGAGAATGTTTTACCCTGAGGCCAGCCTATTTTCAGGAGGCTGGTTCAGGTTGAGGTTCAGGTTGAGGGTCAGGTTGAGGGTGGGCCGAAGTTCAGGGGCCTGGAGGAAGGAGAGAAACTTAACTAAAGTTTGGTTAAAAAACATTTTGTTCTGATGAATCAGTGAGGACAAAACAGTCCAGCTAATCACTTATGAAGCAAAGAATGGGAATTGGGAGGGTCTGGTGTCTGGCCTTGGCACAGGTAAACAAGGGAGGTCATCCATCAGTTTTATCTAAGTCACTGGGGAAGAGGAGTTCTTTGTTGTAAGCTGTTTTCCAAAACACAGAGGAGTAAGGAGATTTTTTAACCTTAACTCTTTTCCACGGATCACAGGGCTCAGGAAAAAATTCAAAATTTTCGAATAAGAAAACTCAGGCTCAGAGAGGCAAAGCAATTTGCTTGAGGTCACCTACCTAAGATGCTACTCTCCGAACAGATGTGTATGTCCACTCACATATCCTCTACTCATTCCTCCTCAAGGAACTTGTTAGCTGTTGGTTTTATCCAATCTCTTTACTCTTTGAAAATGATTTAAGACTCTTTTTAGCAAATTCCACAGGTTCTGACACAAGCAAACGAAACCTCCCTCTTGTCTTTGCAGTTGTGAGACAAACTCCCACGCAGTCCTTGAAAAATCAGTTCCCAGCTCTGCATTGGGAACATGAACTTGGCTTGGCCTTCACCAAGAACCGGATGAACTACACCAACAAATTTCTGGTGATCCCAGAGTCGGGAGACTACTTTGTTTACTCCCAGGTCACATTCCGAGGGACCACATCCGAGTGTGGTGAAATCAGCCAAGGGAGCCGACTAAGCAAGCCAGACTCAATCATCGTGGTCATCACCAAGGTAACGGACAGCTACCCTGAGCCAACCCAGCTCCTAATGGGGACCAAGTCAGTGTGTGAAATAGGCAGCAACTGGTTCCAACCTATCTACCTAGGGGCCATGTTCTTCCTGAATGAAGGGGACAAGCTGATGGTGAACGTCAGTGACATCTCTTTGGTGGATTACACAAAAGAAGATAAAACCTTCTTCGGAGCCTTCTTGCTATAGTGGCAAGGCAGATGTCATTGTGTGAAGGTCCTCTGCCTCTTAGCTCCTAATTTTCCTCATTCATATGTAATTATAACTAGAAGGTTTTTTTGGAACATCCATAGAGACAGTGGTTAAGCCATGAAACTTAGGGGCCCAAAGTTCACACTTTATGTGCCTTACTGATGAGAATACTAACTGGAAAAAGGCATAAGAGAACAGACCTATTATCATGGTTTCTTGGAAGAGTGGTGAGTTTCTAAACATTAAAACACTGATCACCAGATGAATGGAACATTTCCACGCCTTCCTACTACACATTTGTCACCAGAGGGCCCAGATACTGTTCAATTTTATTATGAAGCATTTGCTTCGGTTCAGGAACCTTGAAAACAAAACCTAATGCCCTAGAAAACAGTGTAAACCCTTGAGAGGCAAAATCCTACGTCAGTTCCTCTAAACACATACTTTAATGCCTTGCCTACAAAAATGAAGAGAGCTGATATTTCTCATAAATGTTCTCAAGAAAAGAAACTGATTTTCACGCCATCTATGGCAAGTGAAAAAAACTACCTTTCTCTTTACTATGTACACATGCATCAAAACAAGCAAGTGTGAGTTCCCACATGTGTATGTCGAAATACACACAACAATAGCATCTATTCAGAACAGTGTTCTTGAGCGCCTTTTATGTGTGTGCTACCTTAACCCAAAAGACACTATGAAGACTTGAGACAGACTCTACCCAAATGTATATGAATACCACTAGATGGCTTCTGGTCAAATATCGCTCTACATATTCCAAGGACTAATTCTAAGTTCTAACAAATCAGACACTGTTACAGAAGATTTCTGAAGCTCTCCTGACTATGTAATATAACCAGCTGGTTAGGTCACTCAAAAAACTTGAAGACAGAGTTCTAGCTAACAGACCAATTATGTAACAAACTTGACTGATGCCAAGAGACAATGGACTTATTCCCGGGGGGGGGGGGGGAATATCAGTCATCAAATCTGGAGATGTTAACCGAGATCTGCTCTGAGGTTTGATTCACAACTTTATATGCAGAGCATTATATGGGTATTTTTCTCTTAAAATATTCAAAGGGATTTAAATGTGGAATTGGCTAATCAGCCCAGCCAAGGCATCTTTCCTGAAGAAGAGGCTGAACATTGAGAAGGTCCTTCCATTGCTTCAATGAGTTCATATCCTCTAATCTGTATGAGTTTTCTGCACTCATATGTCAAGGGTTGGAGAGGCATTTCTGCTCTCTTAGCCTCTGTTGACTTGTCTGTAAAGGAGGAATCCACCAATCTGTTTCCCAGGATCAAATGAGCTCATGGGGATGAAACATGCTAACTTCGAGCATTCTGTGAAATCTGAGAGCATGTCAGTGTGACATGCGGAGTGATCTCCAGCACCTTGGTCTCTATAATAAATGTTCCCTATTGTGAGAGACCTCACAGGTTGGTCTGAAAGCAAATTTGGCAATGACATCACTCTTACTTACTCTTTTCACCAGGAGACTACAGCGGCAGAGACATGCATTATGGGGTTCCTGAACATGATGACTGGTGTAGCAGTACTTGATCAATATCTGTTGAGTTATAATTAAATAAAAATTAACTTCTAATTTCTGAGTTGGGAGGTTAAGGTTCTAAAGCCCTCAGCTTCTCAAAACAGCACAGGCCCCGCATGAGCACAGAGCAGGGCACGGTCACCTCCACCTGGTTCAGAAGTGACTTCACAAGGGGAGTGAAGCCTGAGTGACTCCTGAAAGGAGGTGGGCAGGCAGCGGATAGCCTCAGGGAAAGGGCATCTCAGAGAGACTAATTACCCTTTACTTAAAGCAGAAAGGAAAGGTTTCTCAGTAACTACAAACCCAGCTTGATGAGAGAATGTTTCCTCAACGGACTCCTAGAACAATATTTATTGTTAAATCAGGAATGCTTTATCAATGACTCCAGTCTGGCTCCAAGATCAGAACTAACACCCTATTAGGGAAAGAAAATGCTCTGCCTGCATCCCCATGAGCACACCCAGCAACCTGGGATATGGCAAAGGATCTGCATGCATAAGAGTCCAGAGTCCCCTCCACTGAAAGGAACCCCTATACCAAGGGCCCTCAAACCTTCCCTCTCTTCCACAGGGAATCTGGTGAATTTGGAAGTTTATCCAACAAATAGGAATTTCCTACTATCCTAGAAGACTTGAGGCTTTGGAAAAATCCCTGCCACACATTTGTTTTGCTCCTGTCATAAGCTTGTTTATTGAAGATTGTATTGTGCTCAAGTCTTCACTGCTGAATTTGTTAAATTCTCTCTGATATTTCTTTTACTGTTCAGATAGGCCCAGCCAGACGTTCCTAGTGGAACTCAAGTCAGAACTTCTGTTTCCTAGGCATGATGTCCATAGCAAAACTTAGCATACTAGTTGGGAGAGTGAGGTGGGAGAACGCTTTTTAAGAATGTGATCGTCCCCTAAAAGGAGTAAATGGGGTGCATCCAAAGATTTGGAGGGAAAAAGGCGCATGCTTATGTGCTTTAGAAAATAGTTAATTTAGGGAAAAAATGTTTTACCGATTCCATGTCTCTGAAAAGGCTGAATTCAAATCAATTCCACAAACACTTACTGAGTACCTACTTGCCCTGGGGATACAAAGATAAATTATTTTAGTCTCAGACATATTCATTCTAACTGCTTAGCACCTCCACTGTCTGCAGATCCTTTAATTTATTTTGGTTGTATTAGCTAATTAATTAGCCAACTTTAGACACATGGATATTTTCTCATTACGAAAATGGGTGCCATTTGATGAAGGATGATCATTAACAAAATGACTTGTGTTTACTCTAAGTGTTTTTTTAAATAACTATTCAAGGATAGTTCTCCATAAATAAAAGGGGGGAAAATAAAGGTACTTTCTGTGCTAAAATCCATTATTTAAGCCACATGTAGAGAAAGGTTTATTATCTCCTGGACTAGAGTTTGGCCATCAACACCCATGAAAATATTAGAACTTTATGGATAACCCAGATGTTTTGAAAAGCCTGTGTTTCTCAGCCAATACAGGAGCCATGATCAAAATGCATGGAGTCACTAGTATTTTGACCCTGGTTTAGATCTATTTGGAACAAAATTGCTTAAGCTACTAAAATTCCTAGATTTTTTTGACTAACATAATGTAGGATGTGAAAAAGTACACTTTCACATCCAGAAAGGTGTCTGGTTCAGTTCAATAACTAGGCATGCCAGAGCCCTTGCCTCTATTTCACTCTAGGCTATGTCACCCCAGAGGAAATTCCACCTCTGCTATCGTCAATAACCCCTCTGGCTTATAGAAGTTCAATTAGCTCACTGTGCACACGGCAGGTCTGTTGCCAAGTTTCTCTCGCAAGGTATTTTCCCAAGTCCTCTCCCTGTCGTGTTTCCATGATTGTGACACTGGGGATTAATTCTTCAGCACAGGACTCTTTACACGCTACACCTTGCAAAACACATGCAGAAGCCACTCGCCTCAAGACTTCTTACTCTCCCAGCACCCAGAGTCCTGGAAGTATTCTGCCATTTTTAGGAGAAATTTTTTAAACGATGTACCACTGTCCTGGATATTAAGAGCTATTGCATCACACTGGCAGCTGGGCCTGGGAAGAATTCAGTGGACTATTAACCCCTGAATGCTTTTGCTCCAGCAGTGAGAGAGCGAGGGTCAGAGTAGTCACATCTATGCCCTGCTCCACTCTGTTAACCGTATTTACAACTTTCCAAGCCCTGAGACACATTTACCCCTTGCCATCCATTCCATCACCCATTTTAAGAAGAAAATACCATACCAGCTCAGACAGGACTTACTTGTTCAGGGCCACACAATGAGTTAATGGTGATCTAGAGCTAGGCTACTGTTCCCCTGAAGCATAATCCTAGGCTCACCCAATTACCCTCTGCTCTTATTAAATAGTAATTAATAATAACTGGAGGAGAAATTGGAGGAAGACATGAGAAATATTATCAAATATCTATGGGGTGACGTAGAAAGGGGGAAGAAATTTCTTCCATGTCTCCCTAGAGGAAAAAGCTAGGGCTAATAAGTTGAAGTTACAGGGTTACCATTTCTGGCTTGGTATCCAAATGAACTTTCCACCCCAAAATAGAATGTCCCCAGATAGTGATTGCTCAGTCCCAGAAGACATTCAAGCAAAGGGCTCATGTCAAGGCTTTTGTAGAAACCATTCCTTCATTGAGGTGAGAGAAAGGATTGAGCCAAAGGATTTCTGAGGTCTTTTCCAAATCTTTGATTACATGGTCATTTTTCAATTGACTTCTGTGTGTTCTATTTGATCATTAAGAACCTGGCAGGTCTTGTCAAGAGTTCAGGACTTCTAGCCTAGAAGTGGTTGCCATTTCCCACTTGTTCAGAGATTGTCCAACACAAGTGACTCTGAGATGTTGGCCAACAGAGCACGTCATGGAATTTTAGAGCTGACAGGATCTGCAGAGCTTATCTGCTCCAAGTTCCATCATTTTAAGGATGAAGGAAGCAAGGCTCAGAAAGGTGACGTAAATGGCCCAATGCCAGACAGTAGCTTGTAGCAGTGTGAGGCTAGAATGCATATCTCCTGACACCCAGCCCAGCAATCTTTCCATGTCATCCACGACTCAGTTATTTTCTTGAGCATATGTCACATGGCAGCACTTACCTAGATGCGGGAGAGCCAAGACAAGAGGGAGTATGACAGGCAAGTCCCACCACCATGTTGCATATGCGTTCAGGAGGAAGGAGACACACAATGCTGAGTAAATAAAGTAGCTGAACTTAATCAGATGACTTTATTTGTAAAGTCATTAAAATATGTAACTTCCCCCCTTTTGTTTCAGGGGTGAAAAGATTAAACAAGTATAGGTGTTTATGTGGTTTTAATGATAAGCCCCATGTGCTTTTACTGATTTTATGTTTTATGTTAAAACATCACAAACCCAAGGTAAATTGCATATTGTATGTTGTTGGATATGTATTTAACTGATATGAGTGCCCTGTCTTCCAGCACTACTGTATGAATTCCAATCACTGTGAATGAAATGTTGTACGTGTTTAAAGTATTTAATAGATGTAACTTAATAAATTGGCATTGAAAGCTGCAGAATTTTAGTAATTAGATCAATTCTTTTGTCCATCTGTTCATTTATTTTTCTTTCTAGATTAAGGTCTAAGGATAACCTCTTGGGGTTTTAAAATGCCTCTAGTTCTCCATGTATTTGAATTCAAAATGGCAACTGATTTTCACAGGTCATAATAAATCCTATGACAAATTGACTATGAAACTCCACAGATTGTGCCACTCTGGTCAGATGAGGGAAAGGAAGAGAAGGAGGGAATATACTCAGTTCCTTTTATGAATTAGGAGACTCTGTGGTTAAGTGGCTTAAACTCACAGCAAACAACCCTAAAAAAAGAGAAAGAATGGCCAGAGAGAGTCATATTAGT